CCTGACTCCGTAATCCCTTCCACCCCTTCTTGGGTCTTTCCAGAAAGCCCTACAATCAAATCACCCATTGTTTTGTCTCTCGTGTCCTGGCATTGTAATGCAACGTTACTCGTTCAAGTCCTTTGCATGATTCTACTTCTTAAGTTAATAATTCTGTCTCATCTTTCACTCCAAACATATGTTCAGGTTATTATTTAGTTTTGGTTAATTAAGCACCTGGTAGCCCTGGTTTGAAATATTTAAATAAAGTTTACTATAGATAGAAAGATTATGTAGGTCAAGAAAAGGAGGGGAAAAAAGTGTGTTTCTGAGTTGCAATTACAACTCCTTCAAATGGTTGGAGCAGTGTGCGAGCTATACCAGGGCTTTCACGGGAGCTTACTTTTTTATTGTTTGGGGGAATATTTTCTGACTGAAAGTTAATGATATTGCGGCTGACATGCTTCAGTGGTGATAGCAAGAAGTATCCTTTTTAAAGTGAGTTACGTGATCATTCACCCATGTGTAGTATTCAGTAAGTTACACATAATAACAAAAAAGAAATGCATGGGCAAAAATAGCATATGGCAGTCCCTCCAGGGGGTCCCACCGGTTGCAACAATTAACGCAAATTCAAACCGATCTCTGTCTCAGTGGAACAAAGTTGCCTTCAATTTTAATCGATTTTTCTTTCCTGCAAAGAACAGGATATTCAGGATTACTTCCACACAACTCATACTTATCTGAGTGTTTTTTGTCACTATATGCAGTAACATCGTATATCGTCTTACTCCTAGATGATAACTATTCTGAAATAAACTCAAAGATAATCAATAACAACCATATTAACATATTAAAAAACCATTGATGCTTCTCTACCAACAGGCAGCCATTGCGTTTCCATTCATTTCTGTAACCAATATGAAAAATCAATAACACAATGTTTGAAGCTTGCTCAATTTATGTGTGAAGTGTATCAGTGTACAAGTCTGGCATTCATTTTGGTCTTAAGGCAATAGTTCTGACTATTACTGCCCCACTAGGAGTTAGGCCAAGCTTCATGGGGGTAGTAGTGAGGGCCTTCTTTGATTCAAAGTGCGCAAGAAAACTTAAAAAATATACACAGAAGGCCTATATATTAGAATTTAGTCACTTATGTGAAGGAAAAGGTATAGGTAAAGTAAAGTATAGTAAAGTAAAGTAACAGGCAACTTGTCTAATAAAAGAATGCCAAGTGTCAGGTTTACAAGAAAACTGTTTGTCAGGAAAAGAGCCTATTAAATCTGTTATATTGTTAAAAAAATACATAAATACAGACAGGAGAATCATGTAAGAAAAGTTTCCCTAAATATGAAATAACTGCTCAAAAATTAATTCAAATCCAACTGGTCTTACCACAAACATCTTGCAGTTAATATGTTAACTGTTTGGGTCCATTGGTATAGTTTACAAATAATAGAAATATCATAAAATATGTCACCTGAGTCAGGGGTTGGTCAGGTTACCTAAATGATAAGGGGTCCCTTAAGAAATATTGGAATCACCCTGGCTAAGTTACATTATTGTTGCAGTGTTAAGGCCAGTTGTCAGTACAGGACATTTGAAAAAAGTCTGGCCTGCATTACCAGAGTCAGACATTTTATACTAAGGAAAGTTCAAGCTCAAGACATTATTGTCCCTGAGGGGGATTTGGTTCTGCAGCAGTAGCAATAAAAAACAATGATAACAGCACACACCGGTTGTAGACAAGATAAAAAGCCACACATTCATAACCAAAGATAATAAAAAACACATAAATACAGGAGTGAAAAGTCAAGGACAAAAGTTTCCATTTATTAATGAATAAAGAAGTCAGAGTGTACTGATGCTACATTTATGATATGGCTATGAAAGAGAATTTATATCTGTTAGTTTTGGCTATGGTTGCCTGAGGTGGCAACCAGAGGGGCAGGAACTTCAATTCTAATTTGCAGGGGTGGTACCGACTGAGATGATAGATATGTGAAATTAATGGATATAATCCAGCCTACTAAAAATTAAAATATAAAACCTCTTTATAAATCCTCTCTTAGGCTTATAGTTATGTATTAGTAGTATGTATGTATGTATGATGTATGTATGTATGTATGTATGTATGTAATGTATGTAGTATGTATGTATTATGTGTACCATCATCAATTTTGTAATATAGAGTAAACAACTGTCATTTTTTAATCTATATTATTGCAGGAGCATTGTGGATTGTTACAGAAAGTAGGGACAACACACTAATTATTTGAACAGATAAATCGGCAGATAATGGGAAATGTAAATTTCTTGGGTTTAAAATTTCAATTATTGTGTATTTTTGTTTTTGTTGTGTTAATAAAAGTGATATCAGTGAGATGTTCTTGTTTAGATCAGAGCTACGGGAATATTAAATCATCCCCTCCTCTCAGCCTTTCTGACCCATCAAGTTTTTAAAAAACTGGCAGGTTTTGAATATTGCACTCTCTATTAACACAACAAAAAATACAAAAAATACCAAACCGTCGAATAATTGAAATTAACCCATATAAACGTATTACTAATCTCCCCATTGGTCCACTGAACGAGAACCCAGGTGATTATCGGGGTCACCTTATCAAGTTAGTAAATCGTTCATAATTAAGTGATGCCAGGGTCCCAACCTGCTTTCTGCTAAACAATCCCACACTATGTCTTCTGCTATTCAAAGATATAGATTAACAAAATAAGGGGGTTACTTTCTAATGATTAACCAACATTATTGATGGTACACAATGATATACAGACAATACAGGACTGAGAAGCAGTAACGGACATGACAAATACATACAAAACTACATACATACATACAACATATACATACATACATACATACTATAAGCCTAGAGAGGATTTATAAAGAGTTTTATATTTTAATTTTAGTAGGCTGGATATATCCATTAATTTCCACATATCTATCATCTCAGTCGGTACCACCCCCTGCACTTAGAATTGAAGTTCCTGCCCCTCTGGTTGCCACCTCAGGCAACCACTAGCCAAAACTAACAGATATAAATTCTCTTTCATAGCCATATCATAAATGTAGCATCAGTACAACTCTGACTTCTTTATTCATTAATACTGGAACTTTTGTCCTTGACTTTTCACTCCTGTATTTATGTGTTTTTTATTATCTTTGGTTATGAATGTGTGGCTTTTTATCTTGTCTACAACCGGTGTGTGCTGTTATCATTGTTTTTTATTGCTACTGCTGCAGAACCAAACTCCCCTCAGGGACAAATAATGCTCTTGAGCTTGAACTTTCCCTTAGTATAAAAATGTCTGACTCTGGTAATGCAGGCCAGACTTTTTTCAAATGATCCTGTACTGAAACTGCCTTAACATGCAACAATAATGTAACTTAGACCAGTGATTCCTAACCTATTTCCTTAAGGGACCCCTTATCATTTAGTAACCTGACAACCCCTGACTCAGTGACATATTTTATGGATATTTCATATTATATTTAAAACTATACAATGGACCCAAACAGTTAACATATTAACTGCAAGATGTTTGTGTAAGACCAGTGATTTGAATTAATTTTGAGCAGATTATTTCATATTTAGGGAACTTTTTACATGATTCTCTGTCTGTATTATGTATTTTTTTTAACAATCATACAGATTTAATAGGCTTCTTTTCTGACAAACAGTTTTCTTGTCCCTGACACTTGGCCATTCTTTTATTAGACAAGTTCCTTTACTTTACTTTACCTATACTTTACTTTACCTATACTTTTCTTCACATAAGTGAACTAAATTCTAATATATAGGCCTTCTGTGTATATTTTTTAAGTTTTCTTGCGCACTTTGAAATCAAGAAGGCCTCACTACTACCCCATGAAGCTTTGGCTACTCCTAGTGGGGCAGTAATAGCAGAACTATTGCCTTAGACCAAATGAATGCAGACTTGTACACTGATACACTTCACACATAAATTGAGCAAGCTTCAAACATGTGCTTATTGATTTTCATATTGTACAGAAATGAATGGAAACCAATGGCTGCCTGTTGGTAGAAGACAGCATCATGGTTTATAATATGTTAATATGTTAAAGTTATTGATTATTTTGAGTTTATTTCAGATAGTTACATCTAGGAGTAAGACGATATACGATGTTACTGCATATAGTGACAAAAAACACTCAGATAAGTATGAGTTGTGGTGGAAAGTAATCCTGAATATCCTGTTCTTTGCAGGAAAGAAAAATCGATTAAAAATTGAAGGCAACTTGTTCCACTGAGACAGAGATCGGTTGAATTTGCGTTAATTGTTGCAACCGGTGGGACCCCCTGGAGGGACTGCCATATGCTATTTTTGCCATGCATTTCTATTTTTGTATTATGTGTAAACTTACTAACTACTACACATGGGTGAATGATCACTAACTCACTTTAAAAAGGATACTTCTTGCTATCACCACTGAAGCATGTCAGCCCAATATCATTAACTTCAGATCAGAAAATATTCCCCCACAACAATAGAAAAAGTAAGCTCCCGTGAAAGCCCTGGTATAGCTCGCACACTGCTCCCAACCATGAAGGAGTTGTAATTGCAACTCAGAAACACACTTTTTTCCCCTCCTTTTCTGACTACATAATCTATCTATCTAATAAGTAAAACTTTATTTAAATATTTCAAAACCAGGGCTACCAGGTGCTTAATTAACCAAAAAACTACAATAATAAGCACTTGAACATATGTTTGAGTGAAAGATGAGACAGAATTATTAAAACTTAAGAACAAGTAGAAATCATGCAAAGGACTTGAACAAGAGTACAGTGCATTACAATGCTCAGGACACGAGGAGACAAAACAATGGGTGATTTGTTGTAGCTTCTGGAAAGACAAGAAGGGGTGGAGGGAATTACAGTCTGCTTGCCATCCTCTCTCTCACCTCGTATGTTATCCAGCAGCATGCGCAGTACAGCCATGGTGAAGGAGGTCTGCATGGGAGTGAAACTGGCCTCTTTTGCCCACCAGAAACCACAGACATAGTAATCCAGCAGAGCAGCTTCCTTCATAGAAGTCTGATGGTTCCTGAAGCCCAGAATCTCCTTTATTTCCCTACAGACAACAGAAGGCAGATCTGGATGACGATGTTCCCGTCCAGCAGTAATTATGCACTGAAAGTCAATAAAACGTTGATGAAACATCTGGACCACCATCAGTATGTTTCTTTCCTTTTTGGTTAATTTGTGGGTTTTAGCAAACAGGGGAGAGTTTACACTGTACAATAAAAACAGTAGATATTTTAAAAGCTGAATCCAGCAGTTCTCAGTATGTTTAAATGTAATAATTTTAGGTAAATTGTTGATAATTAATTAAAGACTTCAGAACTAATCCCTCAAACTTTCATTCCTGGCAGTATGGAGAAGGCCTTGAAACACTATTTAGAATTTCATGTCAGGAAATAACATTTTCACTAAATATGTCAGAAGTTAATAAAACATGGAAAGATCAAGTATATCGAGTATGTATTTTTATGTATATGATTATACGGTATTCAGACCATATTAGTGTTATTTTAGAAAATATATTGAATTCTAGTTCATTGGTGTTATAAAAGTTAAAACTGAATACCTATGCTACCATGTTATTAAAATGTATATTCCTCATTGTAACTGATAATAATATGTGTAATAGTGTAATAGATGAGAGCAGCCATACATCATGTTCTTGTCTGCAGAACGAACACAAGCACTGTAAAAGTGTCTAGTGGTACAATACCTAAAAGCTGCTGTGTTGCATTTTGCACATCAAACAAAAAAAAAAAAAAAAACAGATAACGAGCTTACAGTTTTCTCAGATGAGCTTCAGGTCATCATCAGAGAGGACAAAATGTTAAACTCTGGGACCAGGACAGTCAGCATGTACATCACAGGTAAGTTAATGTTACTGAGTAAATGACATTTGTGCTGATTGTAACTGTAGAATGAAAAGAATCAGTAAAGAGTCTTGGTGATTGTGTAAATAAAGTTTCTACTGTTAAAAATATGGCCGTACCAAAAAACAGCCCCTTTTGAAATAGAGTTTGGTTTGACTGAAAGGACACTCATCAACTCCTATTTCTTTATATTTTATTCATATAACAAATATAACCAATCATTTTCAAACATGATTGTTTGCCTTGCTGGCCACAGGATTTTAGCTTCTAATAGCTAAAGATCAATACAGTATTCTTATTTTATGGTATTGAATTGACAAAGACCTGAGAATTTACATTTACCGACAGTCAAATTAGAGGTGCTGTTTTAACCCAAAAAGTTACCACAACTGCTGCCATAAACACCACACTATCCACCAATATATTGTGATGGCTAACATAACATTATCATATTATTCTAATATTTTGAGCACTTATGGACAACGCAGAGCATGGCAGACATTTTATGTGGTCACACCAAGTGTGAACCTATTATGACATCACCCATTGGTTTGTGGAGTAACATTGCAAAAACCGGACACATCTTATCACAGACAGATGCAGAAAAACTAATCCATGCATTTGTTACTTCAAGGCTGGATTACTGCAACTCTTTGTTATCAGGTTGCCCTAATAAGTCCATTAAAACGCTCCAATTAATTCAAAACGCTGCAGCACGAGGGAAAACTGTCCAGTTTTCGACCATGGATCAGAACCGTATGGAACAGTGTTGTGGTTTCATTTTTTCATCTCAATGCACTCCAACGATGTCTTCTGGCAAACAATATGAAAGAAAGCAGAAAAAAATTGTAACAGTGATACAATTTAAGAGCCATTATTGCTAACCCTTACGTTTTTGCACTTTGGGACCGACGTAGCAGTGTACGTTTTTATATGAGACTGGTTGCTATCTTGACATACAACTTTTGCTGTCTGACTCTAGTGAGAGGACCAGAAACTCTCACTGAAGGTACCCAGGAATTGGTGAGACACCAGACTCACAGAAAGCAAAGAGAATTGACTGAGCCACTATATATAATATATATAGATACCTACACCTAAGTATCAAAGCAAGCAAATAACATAACAACATGATAACAAAACGTAATTAAAGCATTGAATATTTATATGAGTATTTTTATCATAAGTGTCTCTTCTTCTGCCTCAAGTATTTTACATACAGTTAGAGAGGCACCCAGGAAGACGGTTACTAGCACTTTGATTGCAAGGGGGTTTCAATTCTGGTCTTCAGTTGCGTTTTGTCAGTCAGCGGTGGATTGCTTTCTCCTGTGTTGAATGTACCATACATTTTTGTGAATACCAAAGTAAATTTTTCCTTATTCAGGGACTGAACTTTAATTTCAAACATTATTTCCCCTTTTGTCCAATGATACGTTCTCATTTTATGCCAATACTTAAAGTAGGATCAATGTAGTTGTCTTGGGCAAGTTTGATGGAGTGAAGTCAATTGCAAGGGGGTTTTGTTTGGTGCAAAATGGTATACACTGTGCTGCCAACAACATTTCAATGAGGAAGCAATATCAAATGTCAGTATTCTCTTCCACCATTCTTTCTGAATTGCCGTTAAAATTGTGAATCTAGTTTTGTTTAAGTATACATGCACTTTATACTCAACAAACATCTATTAGAGGATGCATTACATATGTTTACCTTAATTCAAGTTAAAATGAGTGACATTTTAGAGGGTTCACACAATGCCTCTGTTCGTGCATAACTCAGAGTTGTTTATGATCAAAAGTTATACAACTCCAATTTAATTACTTGTGGGGGCAATAACTTTCTAATTGAATGTCAAGTCTGGTATTTTAGCAAAAAAAATTATAATAAATTTAAAATTTATAATTAGAAATTATTTTTTCCTAACTCTTACTGATTGTATTACCTGTTTTCTTTTTCTCGTATCCAAATTTGCTGCTGCAACATCGGAATTTCCCCATTGTGGGACAAATAAAGGCAATTCTTATCTATCTTAATTCATAGACCCATAAAACATGGGTTAGACACCAAGATTACTTTGGCTAGGTCAAATAATGAAGATATAATAATGTAATAAATGAAATTACCCTTTCTAGTGGTCAAACCTTTTGGTAAACTTTTAGTATGTTATTACAGGGACACCTAACTACAAAAAACAGCTGAGAAACCTTTGTTAGAGTTTTTTAGGGTTAGGTGGTTTTTTGTTCATATAATGGCAGCCGCCTAAACATGGCCATTAATGGGACATGAATGAGTGCGAAAGAGACGAGAGAGGAAAGAGAGGAGCTTCAGTGACATATAGCAATAACTAAAGGCACTCTGGCACACCAACCGATTATCGCGTCAGAAAGTTGTTGGACAGTCGGGCGAGGTCGGTGACTCGAATCGGTTCGGTGTGTCCCGGTTCCGTCGTCAGTCGGTGTCGGCGTTCATTTTGGCCATTCGACATGTAGAACCGGCCAGTTGGCCGGTTCGGCCTCAATGACCCAATCTGATTGGTGGAGTGCTAGCCCTTGACTAGCGAATCACGTGAGGCCGAGGAAAACCGGAAAGTGACGATGGTAAACAACGCCAGTATCTTGTTATTATTAGGCCAATCGTATTTTCCGTTCAAGCGAGTAACGACAATAACGATCCATTCTTGACTACTATCAACACTCTCTTGATGAAAACAATGACTGGGACGACAGCGTGCTCTGTGTTTATAGGTTCTAGAGGATCTGTCATTTCCGGGTTCATTCATTTAATTTTTTTGGCGACAACACAGATTAGCGCCGCCCTGCTGTTTATGGGGACGTATTACGCCTTGCGCACGCGACAGAACGTACGCTCCAGTTTGCGTCAGTTTGGTGTGTTCGGAGGCATTTTTCTAGACCGACATCGATGGAGACGGGGCCGACTGATCAGTCCGACTGCTTTTCTGCCGCGGCTCCGGCTCCGGTTGGTGTGCAGAGGCCTTAAGGGATGGTTTCAGGACTCACCTGGATCCAGCCCTAATATAAGCTTTATCAAAGAGGAACGTCTTAAGACTTTACTGTTAAATTGTGAGAGGAGGGTGTCTGCCTTCACCGAACCACAACTGGAATTGGGCCTGGGGTTTTTTTTTTCCACAGGAGAGAGGAGGCTTGGTAACTGAAGGCTCTGGCTCCTGTCTTACTTTTAGAGACTATAGGACCACAAGTACCCCTGCATTCAGGAGACGTAGTGTTCTAGTGGGGTAATCAGGGGTACTATGAGCTCTTTAAGATAATGAAGGGGCCTGACCATGAAGAGCTTTATAGGTGAGGAGCAGGATTTTAAATTCTTCTTAATGTTACAGGAGGCCAGTGCAGAGAAGCTAGACAGGGAGAGATGTGATCTCTTTTCCTAGTTCATGTCAGTACT